CCCTGCCTCAGGATCTCCGAACTTGACCGTTTAGTGTCTAGTTTTGCACCGAACACTTGTGTTTTGCCTTGAAGGGGCAGGGAATGCCTTGTGAGACATCCCCACACACCACCGGCAGTGGCTGGAGGTCACCGGCTGGTCTTTTTCTGCCATCGGCACTTTTGTTTGCCGGTCGGCACACTTTATTGCCGGTCGGCATATTTTGTTGCCGATCGGCACTATTTTTTGTCGAAATGACATTTTTGGGCAGCCGACCACTGTTCATCCACTTTATGGAGATATTTTGTGCCAGCTGTGATAGCTGGCACCAACTCTTCTCCCCTCCATAGACGTGTGTGGAGGGATTTCCCTCTAGCCAAGCTTGTTGGATAAGCTTTGCAAGAGGGATCCTTATAAGAGGGAGGCTTTCCTCTTGGTTCTAGGTTAGAAAAAACAGAAGCAAAAACCAGCCTTTGAGATATAGATACATATTATATCTATACCTCTCTCCCTCTCCCTTCTTGTGTGTGTTTCTTGGCCCAAAAGGTGTGTTTTACCTTACTTTTGCACCATTACACACACTATTACACCTTAGTCCGAGATTGAGGGACTTGGGGGAGTTGTTTCTTGAGTTTTGGACTGGTTTTGATCCAAAGAAGGAGGTTAGGCCATTTGCCTTACTCCGAGATTAAGGGACTTGGAGGAGTTGTTTCTTGAGTTTTGGACTGGTTTTGATCCAAAGAAGGAGGCTAGACCATTTGTTCTTCAAAGGTTCTTCAAGGGTGAGCATCTTGATTTATATTCCCCAAACTTGCAATAGTTTTTTACCTATCTTGCTTGCTGTTTTACCTCTTGTGTATAACATAAAAAGGGCTTGTATTTTCCTGCTCTAGCACTTTCATTAAGGTCATTTTGTGGTTTGAGTGCAAACTCACCCTTCTAGGCCTTGTTTGGCCCATTTTGGTGCCTCTTTGATAAGGTTTTGTTCACTTCAGCATTTTTGGTCTTTTCATCACTAAAAACCAGTTCATTTTTGGTGTTTAAAAGGATGGTTTGAAGTCTTGCATAGGGGAGGGACACCCCTCACCCTTTATGGTTTTGTTTCCTTGCTTTTTGGGCTCAAAAGGGTAGCATGTGTGCTTGATGTTTCTTGGCCTCATTTCAGAAGTTTTTTAGGTGTTTTACATCATATGTAACCTCTGTTTTTGGTCGGATTTGTGCCTCCTTGTATGCTTGTAATACTTGCTTTGTATTGCTCCATTTTGCTTAGAAGTGCATCCCATGATTAGGCCATGATTCTTGTGTGAGTTGGCTTAGTTCCATGAAGTTTTTAGTGTTGTTTTTCCATGCTTAAGGTTTGTTGGTTATCCATTTAGTCATGCTTGACATGTTTGTTAGGGTTGCTTTGTATTTTGGCCTAAAAGCTTTGAGCATGTTGACCTCTAGCATGTATGTTTGTGATTATCCTCATGATTTGACATCATCTAGGATCACATTTTAGTCCAAGAATCATGTTTGTATGTGTGCATGCATGACCCCTTTGATGCCTTGAGGGTGTACCCTCTTATGCCTAGGAATGAGCCTTAGTGCATGTGCCTCTTGGGAGTCACCTTAGCTGCCTTTTTAGGAGGGTTTGGAGTCCCATTTCGCACATAAAAATTCTGTTTTGACTTGTTTTAATCATGCCATGAGAGGTCATGTTGGTGGGGGTAAGGTGTACCCTTTTGTGCCTTAACCTTGGGACCATGAGTTTGCTTGTTGACATGAGTTGTTTGTCCATCATTTTGAGCACTTTTGGTGCTGTTTTGAAGTGAGTAAAAGGTCTGCACCTTTATTACTTTGAGGCCTCCTTTGCATGCTTATCTCATGTTGGTTGCATGATTGTCCCATTAATGTGCTATTCCATGTTAACTTTATGGCAAATTGATCCATGTTTGCACCATATTTGTACCTTGTATGCTTAGCATTATACATTTGTCATGTTGGTTGCATAATGCTTGTTGTGCTTTACATCTTGGTATCATATTGCATTTGAGCCTTATGAGCATGACATGCATTGCATTTACTTGGTTTGGGGTGTCAAACCAAGTGTGGGAATCAAGGACCATTCATACTTCAAGTGATGTAATGTGCCTCGATTCCCGGTCATCGGGGCCTTTGACTCCAACTTGATAAGGCCTCGGTTTTCATTTTGTTTGTTGCATGCATCTTCATATTAAGTGGCAAATTCGATCCCTTGAGTCATCATGCACCATTGATGGCTCAAGGATCGAAGGTCATGCTTCTTTGAGTTTAAAACATGATAAGAAGCACAACCATGCCCACATGTACCTAAAAAAACCATGCCATGCACTGCCTGTTCTCTGTTTGCTGTCAAATTGTCTTCTGCAAGAAGTCTCTGCCGACCGGCAGAATTTGGTGCCGACCGGCAATCTCCGGAGTGCCGATGAATCCATTAAAGTGTCGATGGAAATTGTGAAGTGCCGGTGGGAATTCTGTTCGGCCGGTGGTGCTCTGCAGGATGTAAGGAACTTGCTCCAGTATTTTGACAATTTTCAGAGAGACAAGGCGGTACAAACAGAGGCGGCAGGAGCACAGTACGGGTTTTCCGGGCGAGACGGATTCAAGCATGCATCATCTGCGCATCCCGAGGCGGAGGCTGCGGCCACCCTCTTCTTTCTTTTACTTCTTTACTTTTTAATTGATTAGAATTTCTGTAATATTTTATTTGTTTATTATTTTGGGACTGTAATATTCATTTAGACCCTCTGAGTGAGGGTAAATATGTAATAAGTGTGGGTGAGTGGTGTGTATGTCTTCCAATCCCCATTTCTTTCTTGCCTTTTATTTACCTGCTTATGATGGTAGATTAGGGCATTTTTTGTAATTGGCATACCTTATGCTGTGCATGCGTGCATTCATGCATTTGCATTACATACATTAGGCTCAGTACATCATACTAACTGCATTCGTATTTTCAAATTCCAAATTGAATACATGAATCAATTGGTTGCATCTCATATGCCATATTTAGGTTAACCGAGCCTATTCTGATTACATTCTTGCATGCGTTGTGAGTGTTGCCATGATAGCATGCTTGCCATGTGGCTAAGTGCTTATATGAGATAAACTGCTTGAATGCCCGTGGATGGAGGTCAAATTGCTTAAATTGGGATAATGCATTAAAACTATGAATTTTAAGCCCACTAGATAGTGGCAAAATCATCTGTTGCAAAAGCCCACTTGAGGGTGGTAAAACCTGCATTTTAGCCTACTTGCGAGTAGCAAACCACTTTCAAAACAAACATGAAAATGCTTTGTTCCAATTTGGGCGGTTTGGTCTATATTTGTTCGCTGCGCGCTTAACATAGTAATTCTAGGCTAACAAATGGTTTAAGAACACATAAATTTTTCAAAAGCGGATATCACGGTTAGTAGAGGCCGGTCTTCGGACCGGGCAAAAGGGGGTGCTCATAGCTGACCTTCCCCGATTGTACCCAAGCTCCCGAGCCGAGACAACTCCAGTGATGACGGACATGTGGCCTTCGGCACCGAGTCAGGGTTTCCTAAATTCTCCCATAAAAAAAAAATATTTAGGTAGCGACTCTGTATCTGGCAAAACAGTCCATGTTTGGCACTACTTTTTTTTAAAAAATCTGTTTCTCAAAACGATTAGCCAGATTTGGACTCTTTGGTTCAGATTAAGAACCGTGACACAAATCGAGTCCGAACTGTAGCGTGAGGCCCACGGGCGCGTCTACAGTTTCTGGCGACTCTGCTGGGGAAAATTAGAGAGCTAAAATATTTAGGTGGCGACTCTGTATCTGGCAAAGCAGTGTCCATGTTTGGCACTATTTTTTTTCAAAAATCTGTTTCTCAAAACGATTTGCCAGATTTGGACTCTTTGGTTCAGATTAAGAACCGTGACACAAATCGAGTCCGAACTGTAGCGTGAGGCCCATGCGGGCGCGTCTACAGTTTCTGGCGACTCTGCTGGGGAATTTAGAGAGCTTGACTCGAACTCGCGATATCCTATTTTGATTTCATTTATGTGTTTCTTTGCATTGAATGTGCATTGGTGCGCCTAGGAACACGGTGTTTGCTATCTGCCATTCCTGAACGGTTTGCCGGAGGCTTGTCTTGTCAAGGCATGTCCATAAGGCTGACCGGCTATGGGCTCTGACAGCATGGGAACACAAACCCCGGTTTACCGGGGCACCCTTTTCGACCATTCGACCTAGTGCATATTCGGATCCATAGTGACAATTCCAAACTAAGACAGGTTGCTTACTCGATATTAGGTTGTTTGAGAACTGCTGCATGCATAGTAAAACCCTAGCTCCTGACAAAATAGGACAGGGAAACCCTACCACAATATAGGGGTGTTTTGGCTCTCTTTACCTGCTATGTGCTTTTAGAGTGTTGCTCTACAGGAACGTGCATATCAGTCTGCAAGATTGAGTATCAGGCCTGAGGGTATCAGTATCAGTTTAAGAGAATCAATTATTTGCGGGTATCAGGGTTCAGTGTTGGGAACAGAGATTTTTGGGAACAGTGATCAGTATCAAGGAATAGTGTGTTCGGCTTATCGATTATGTATTATGCATATCCAACTGTGTATTATATGTTTATCTCACGCCGTTATACTGTCCGACTGTTAGTTTATTTATTGCTTTATTTATCTTTTTGCTAGGTAGTTTAGCATCATTGCTTCCAACCCGGTAGATATTCCCCGAGCACTCTGGATCAGAGGTCGTCGGCTCCATCGATCTGAGGATCTGATAGAAGGACAACCGGTGTACCATTCTTTACCCCCGGTTACTAAACGGAAGGCAACTAGGCAGAGGACATCGGTTCAACAGTCAGTACAAAGGGCTTCATCTACCCCACCTGTGTACAGTAGGGATCAGGGTCCTGTTTCACCTGCGGAAAGGGAACATACACCGACAACTCAGTCAGAACAGAGTAGCATGGCTAATTTAGAAGAGATGGTGCGCCAACTCCAAGAAAGCATGAAAATAATGCAGCAGGATGCTGCCCGGCAGACAGAATTCGCCAGAGAACAAGCCACAGTTATGAGTGAGCAAGCGGAGTTAATTGGGAGATTGCAACAGCAAACTGCGGCGTCACCTTCACAGCAGGTCCCTCCTCCATTAAGGGTTCCAATACCCAAAGAGACGCCAAATGCCCGGAATGTCCAAGAAGACACGGACATCCCGACAGGGTCGGCTCCACCCCTGATTCCGCCTCAACAATCCAAGGCACCCACTCCCATCAATCTATCGAATTCTCCCTTTGAGTCCGAGGTAGACCCCATGACGTTAAAAATGCACAAGCTTGAAAAGCTGTTCAAGAAATCTCAAGGCGCGAAGTCCATTCCGGACATTGGGGACGGATACATCGACACAGCTGTGACGCTGCCAGATCGGTTTAAGATGCCCCAAATTGATCGTTTTGACGGATCTGAGGATCCCATGGTACACCTGCGACTATTTTCAGACGTCCTAAGGCCAATGGGCCTCACCAGATTGCAGAAGTTGTCTTTATTTGGCCGTACCCTGTCGGGTGTAGCGTCCGCATGGTATGCCAAGTTGGAGGATGACGTCAAGAGAAGTTGGGACAAGATGGCTGAAGCCTTCATCCTGCAGTACTCATATAACACACAAATCGAGATCAAGACCCGGGATCTCGAGACAACGAGGCAAGAACCCAAGGAGAGTTTCTCGGAATTTGTAACCAGATGGCGAGCAAAGGCTTCGATGATGACCTTAAGACCCACGAACAAGGACCAGATTCGGATGATTGTGCGCAATCTCCAGCCGAAGCTAATGCAAAAGATGATTGTAGTCCCCTTTCCTACCTTTGCTGATCTGCATGAAATGGGGGTACAGATCGAGGACGCCTTAAGACAAGGGTGGATTGATAATGACCGGGAGCAACCCTTCTGATCTGCATGAAATGGGGTGCAGATCGAGGATGCCTTAAAACAAGGCCTGATTGATAACGACCGGGAGTAACCCCGCAGGACTTTCAATCGAAATACTACTGCAGGCCCGAGTGGCACTACAACTACCAGAACCTCCGAAGTGAGCATGGTCACCGCCAACCCTTCCCCAAGAAATATGGCAGCCACACCATTTTCCGGTGCGTCCGGAAGCAACCCACAAACAACCAAATACCTTCCCAAAAATACCAGAACCTTCGCTCCACTTTATATGCCCCTGTCCAAAGCTTTGGGGGTTTTGATCAGAAAAGGGCATCTGAAGCCCCTAGAGCCGCGGCCCTTACCGGAAAGACTCCCCGCTGCCCACAATCCAGCCAAGTATTGTGCATTTCACCAACAGCACGGTCACGACACCGACCTGTGCTTTCGGTTGCGTCATGAGATTCAAGATCTCATTGATAATGGGGTGATTTTACACCCTGAGAAACCCAATGTTACTACAAATCCTCTCCCCACACATAACCAGGTTCCACCACCCAAAAGAATCAATTTCATCCACACTGGGGTCGCATCCTACGATCCTAGTATCTATATCACACCCTCCTACCTACCTAAGCCGAAAGTTCTCCTCCCTGATTGCGTCGATTTGTGCATGATGGATGTCTCTATAACCCAACCCAAGCCAGTGGTGGTAACCATCAAGAACAGGAAAGAGGTTGTCAAACCAGAGTCTGCGGAGTCTGAGAATGATGTTGGGAATGCTTACAGTCCGAGTGACTACATTTCACCAGTGGGCCAGAATAAACCAGATGTCGAATTCCCAGTCGGGAGAGAGCTGTGTGTAATCTGAGGGGACAGACCAGAACAGGGGACGGATGAGTTGGCAGCCGTATGAGAAGGTCTCGCCCAGTTCCGATCTTATGATAACGAAGATCTAGAAGACTCAGCCATCAACTGGTTCGATTATGAAGAATCGGCGGAGGCCACGGGATGGTTGGACGATCAGCCAGATGTAGTAGGGGAGTTCCAGTCAGAACAAGGCCCGGCAAGGGCGGGAATGTCCACAATGGCCGGGAGTGTCGAAGAACAGAATATATAGCCGGAGCGCACCGGTGTCGAGAGTTTCGCTCGGGAATGGAGCATTTTGAGTACAGGGATCAGTGAGCAATCTACTACGTTGACACAGCCAGAACAGAAGAGATTCGAAGATTCTGAGAGGATCAGGAAAGCAAAAGGCCACCTGGGGCTCGAAACTGCCGCAAATACGGAAATGGAAAATGCTGCAAGCATAGGGATAAAAGGGACCGCAAGTATCGGGACAGTTGTGACAGAACCAGACAGATGCCTGTCAGCTGCAGATGGTATGTGGTGGGAAGACGACGATCTATGTCTTGCCCACACAGACGAGGATTGGGAAGGTAACCAGCCAGATGATACCTGGTATATCGGCGAAGTCGATCACATGACTAGGAGTGGACGGTATTTCAAGCCTCCACACCTAGATCAACCGGAGGCGTCTGGAAAAGATAAGGAGGCAGAGAAGCAAAAGGAAAAGCAACTCGAAGATGAGGCCGTATTGAGACAATTGAAAAAGATACAAGCAGACATCTCTATTTGGGGACTGCTTATGGCTTCTCGGGTACATAGACAGGCTGTCCTTTCAGCCATAGACAAAGCCAAGCTTTCTATAGACACCACGCCTGAACAGTTGGTGGGCTTAGTCTTTTTGGGAGGAAGTTCCCCGGCATTGAGTTTTTATGATAAAGAACTGCCACCTGAGGGTGCGAACCATAACAAACCACTCTACATCTCTGTCGCGTGCAGAGATAAATGGATACCCGTGGTGCTTGTTGACACGGGGTCCGCCATCAACGTTTGTCCGGCAAGAACAGCTTATGCGATTGGTTTGAAAGTCGCAGATTTTGTGCCAACGGCCCAGGTGATTCGGGCATATGACAACACAAGCCGGGAAGTAATGGGAACAGTTAAGATTCAAAAAAGGTTGGGCCGGGACAGCACGAGATAGATTTCCACGTCTTGGAGGTTCCTGCAACGTTCAACTTGCTTTTGGGGCGGCCGTTGGCTGCATCAGGTAAAGGCGGTCTCCTCTACCCTACATCAAGTGGTGAAATACCCCTATGGGAAGGGAGTAGCCATTGTTTTTGGAAACTCGTCAATTCATCCGCCACCGGAAGTGTCTACGCCTGTTCTAGAAATCGAACACGGTGTGGAAGATGTATTTATATCGGGCTTTACCTTGGCTGAGGCTCGGGTCGTACAGAACATCATGGCAGTTAATAAAGGGGTATATGTCAGTGCCCAAGCAGTCTATCTCATGAACAAACTCCAGCACATCCCCGGGATGGGATTGGGCAAGAGCGGTCGGAAAGGCACCGCAACATTGGCCGAAGTGCCACATAACCCACATACCTTTGGTTTGGGCTACCTACCCACCAAAGAGGATTGGATAAGGAAAGGAAAGGAAATGGCCGCAGGGGCCAGGGAAAAACAAATGGGGAAGCCCTTTGACTTAATGCACCAGCCCATTTGGGGTACCCTAAACGGATGCTTCGTCTGAGAGGGGGAAGACTTTCCGTTCTATGGCTTCCCAGAGCCGTGGCTAAACGCGGAGAAGAAGCGCGTGCCAGGATTTGAGATCTTCTTTGATTTACAGTTACCCGAGGATGACATCGCCGAAGGGCAGGCAGATCTATCGGCTGAGGCTGAGCCGAGTAAGGAAGTGCAGTCTGAGGACGCTGAAAATGAAATGGGGGCAGCGCTGGCGTGTCTGCTTTCAGATCCTCCGATCGAACAGAAGTGCTCGGGGGATGGCTCCTCGGTACATGTGATTGGGAATGAAGCGGCTGCGGGCCAACCATCAGCTATTTTGGATGCGTCCATCGCACCTTCTCTCATCTGGCAATATGAAGAAGGATTTTTATCTAGCAGCACCGGGTCAGGTAGTGAGCCGGATTCTGATTCTACCGAATCTTGTACGTCGGAATCAGGTTCCAGCTCAGCTGAGTCTGAGTCCGGTATTCCCGGGGGTGATAACCCGGATGCCACAGTCCTGTCTAGGTCGTCTTTTTCATTTTCTTTTGAGTCTGTTGTAACAGAAGGATCCGACGGCTCGGAAGTATTTAATGAGAACGACGTGGATGTGGTTTCGGATTATTTTTCTGTGCCTTTGATTTATTGCTTAAATCAGGATTTTCAAAATTTTGATGAAAACGACGAGGAAGAAATTCCTCCGGTTTTGCAACGATTAATTGATCAAGAGCAGGAAAGATTTGTTAAACCTTTAATGGATGAAATCACTACTGTGAATATTGGTACTGAGAAGGACCCGCGGCTGGTCCAGATCGGCCACGTTGTCTTCTGAGGAAGCGAGCGCTTAGTCGCTTTTTAAAAGATTTCAAAGATGTTTTTCGCGTGGTCCTACGAAGACATGCCTGGAATCGATCCTGAGTACAGCACCGGATTCCTCTTGATCCCGAGGCCCGACCTGTCAAGCAGAAGCTCAGAAGGATCCGCCCTGATTGGGCCATTAAGATCAAGGAAGAGGTAACCAAGCAGATCGACGCAGGTTTCTTGCTAGTATCCGAGTACCCGACCTGGTTGGCTAACATTGTTCCGGTGCCGAAGAAAGACGGCAGAATTCGGGTCTGTGTAGACTTCAGAGATTTGAACAGGGCTAGTCCGAAGGACGACTTTCCCTTGCTGCACATTGATGAATTGATAGACTTCACGGCAGGACATGCCTTGCTTTCGTTTATGGATGGCTTTTCAGGCTATAATCAGATAGTAATGGCACCCGAAGACTGGGAGAAGACTGCGTTCACTACCCCGTGGGGTACATATTGTTACAGAGTGATGCCATTTGGGTTGAAGAATGCTGGAGCTACTTATCAACAGGCAGCAACTACAATATTGCATGATATGATCCATAAGGAGGTCGAGGTGTATGTGGACGACATGATTGTCAAGTCCAAAGATAGAGAGGGCCACTACACCGCCTTACAAAAATTCTTTCAAAGGATCAAAGAGTTTCGGCTGCGACTGAATCCCCAGAAATGCACGTTTGGTGTTACAGCAGGGAAGATGCTAGGGTTTCTGATCACACAAAGGGGCATCGAGGTCGACCCTTCCAAAATCAAGGCCATCTTAGAAATGCCACCACAAAGTACTGAAAATTAGGTGCGAGGCTTTCTGGGTAAAGTACAATTCATAAGACGGTTTATTTCTAAATTAACCATGACTTGTGAACCACTTTTTGGTCTCCTGAAGAAAGGAAAGAAATTCCAATGGGACGGCCGATGTCAAGCAGCTTTTGAATGGCTTAGAATTCTCTCAACCGATCAACATGGACAAGTTGAAGAAATACTATCCTTGAGAGGCTCGCTAGGCCGAAAACTCGAAAGGGCGACCTAGGCAAAAGTTAGAGCACAAAAAATTAGAAAATATAAAAACTGAGCTCGCAAGAAGACGGTTGGACGTCATTGGGGACTCGAATCTTGTTGTGTCTCAAGCAAAAGGAGACTGGAAGGTCAAGGAGGAAAGGATGATAATTTACCACCAAACCTTGGATTTGTTAATTCCTCGGTTCGAGAAGCTAAATTTCACCCATCTCGTAAGAGAGAACAACAGGTTCGCAGATTCACTAGCAACTCTATCTTCCATGATAGACATCCCGTCTGGAGTCCGGATGCGTCCAGTCATCACTGATCAGAAGTTTGCACCAGCATACGAGTCGATTTCCGCCATAGATGAGGTTCAAGACGACAACCCCTGGTACTACGACATTTGGAACTTCTTGGAAAAGAAGACGTATCCACTAGGGGCAAATGCCAATGATAAGAGGGCCATCAGAAGAATGGCTGTTCAGTTTATCATCTGCGGGGGTAAGCTGTACAAAAGGGGTCATCTGGGAATGCATAAGCTCTGTGTAGAAGCTGGAGAGTCAAAGCGCCTGATGGAGACCATCCACGGAGGGGAGTGCGGTGCACACATGAATGGAGTAATGCTGGCCAGAAAGATCCTTAGACAAGGCTACTACTGGTCAACCATGGAGGAGGATTGTATCGGTTTTGTTCGGCGATGCCACAAATGCCAGATCCATGCAAACCCTATGAACATCCCATCATCCAAACTGTACAACATGACTTCCCCATGGCCATTTTCCGTTTGGGGGATTGATGTGATCGGAGCTGTTACCCCGAAGGGGTCAAACGGACATGAGTACATCCTGGTAGCGATAGATTATTTCACAAAGTGGGTCGAGGCCCAGTCATACGCGGTGTTGAAGGCGTCGCACGTCGCAAAGTTCATCAGAAACAACATCATCTGTCGCTACGGGGTGCCAAACGAGATTATTTCGGATAACGGATCCCACTTTAAGAAAGAAGTGGTCGACTTGTTGGAAAGGTATAATGTGGCTTTTCATAAGTCATCTACATATCGGCCGCAAACCAACGGAGCAGTTGAGGCCGCCAACAAGAACATCAAGCACATACTGCGGAAAATGGTGGAGACCTACCGAGATTGGCCAGATAAGTTGCCGCTTGCTCTTTGGGGCTACAGGACTTCAATTAGAACTTCTACCGGGGCGACTCCGTATTCTTTGGTCTATGGAATGGAGGCTGTTCTACCCATCGAAATTGAAGTCCCGTCTTTACGGGTATTGGCCGAGTGTCAGATAGCTGAGGCAGATTGGCAGCAGAGCAGGTTCGAGGAACTTATGCTCTTTGACGAGAGAAGGCTGAAAGCACTGTATCACGTTCAGAGCTATCAGCGCAGGATTGCTCGGGCTTTTAACAAGAAGGTTAAGTCCAGAAATCTGAAGGAAGGGGACTTGGTGCTCAAGGACAACCGAGCTCCCATCCACGACCCAAGAGGCAAGTTCAGACCCAATTGGACAGGTCCCTACATCATCAAAGCTATTTGGTCAGGCGGAGCTGTGGTTCTGATGCACTTAGATGGCTTAGAATTCTCTCAACTGATCAACATGGACAAGTTGAAGAAATACTATCCTTGAAAGGCTCGCTAGGCCGAAAACCCGAAAGGGCGACCTAGGCAAAAGTTAGAGCACAAAAAATTAGAAAATATAAAAACTGAGCTCGCAAGGCTGAAAACCCGCAAAGGGCGGCCTTGGCAAAAGTTAGAGCGCAAAAGGAGAGTGAAAATACTCGAGCGAACCTGAACCGGAACTACGTGAGGCTTGATTCCCATGTTTGGGATACGTAGGCAGCTTCATCCTGAAGTTCAGCTATAACACTTCCCCGATCAACTTTGTCCATTTGATCATCTCAGTCATCTTTGTCCATCAGCATCCGTTGGAATCTCCAGTGTTGTGGCGCTCTTC